CTTTCTGCTCCTGCTCAGGGACTCCCAGTCCCATGTTGGCAAGAGACTGGCATGACAGGACTGAACAAAGCAAGTTGATGCTTCCACATTCACTTCTGCACTCAGCATATTCTATGACTTCCCTGCTAGGGGTGACCAGGTACAAAAGTCGAGCAATCATGGTGGCCTGTTGCCTGAAATGACCATAATCAAAATCTCTGTGGGCGGGTGGGAGCCTGTGGGGGACCACAGGAAGGACCTGCTCCACCCACTGTAAACCAAAATGTGTGCACATTGCCCCCAGGTTCCCACCTGATGCTGCTGTGACCCTTCTGAGTCACCTTCTTTCACTCTGTGTCTTCCTCCTTCATCGCTCTCTGCCCAACTCCCACCAGGCAGGCAGGATGTGCTTAACACAAAACCTCCTTTGATCTTTGGGGATGCTTTATGCAAACACCTGTTAAGTGTTGGCTCAGTAGGCCCAGACCTTGTGCCTCCATGGCCTGGAGGCCATCTAGGGACTGGGCCCCCATCCCTTAGGCACAGAATCAGCATTCAGTAGACAGACACATCCATGCTTCTTCCTATCTGGGCTTTCTGCATCCTTTTAGAAGTGGATACATTGTGCTAAATGTTGGGGGTCCTGCCCAAGTAAGAAAGTCCTGCCACCTCCTACTTTTCACGATGGGATGGTGAGTGATCCTGAATTTCCTTAGGAACTAGAGGCATCCCAACTGTCCCTCACATCATGTCATAAAGAAGTCATTTTACGTCTTGCCCTTTCTTCAGCTCTTGGCTCTTCTCTGGTAGGTTGGAAGTAGAATGCAAAGGTGCCACCCTCTCAGGGATATCAGGTGGCCAAAGGCCTCTTTGTCTTCCTGCTTCTGTTCTTTCCTCCCACCTATATAACCTCACTGGTCCCTCACCTCACTGAGCACTAGTTCGTCACCCCTGCCCTGTTTCTTCGTCTCCAGCCCCATGCTCTTGCTCAGTCTCCATGCATTTAGAGCTTTCTCTGTGATCTCTCCTGATGGCACAGTATTCCAAGAGCACCTGCTGCATAGATATCAGCAGCAGCTTTGACCACCTTTCCCTGCCCACCAACACTCTCACACTGCCACCAACTGCTTGGGCCCTAATAGAAACTTTCCATGGTAACTTCCAGAATCCCTCTCTACCCCCAGTTTTCGGCCTTTGGTTCTCCATACCATTCCTCCTTCCCACAGCCATGTCCCTTCCCAGCTCCTCACTCATCCCTCTGGGTCTGTGCCCACACTCCCTTATATATGGAGAGATTCTTTCTTCTAATCCATGATGTCCTCCATCATTAATTCTACTTCTTTCTACCACCAGCAAAATATCTGCTTTTAGTAAAAGCCAGCTCTTTGACTTGGGTACTTGCCCTCACTTCTTCACTTCCACACCACAGCATTCTTTCAGAAATTCTCCCCTTGCTGTCTTGCTTATCCCTCTTGACTGGATCTTTTCTATCACCATCCAACCATCCAATAGACTAAGTCCCCTGTCTTAAAAAAAAAAAAAGGGAAATGCAAATCAAAACTACATTGAGATACCACCTCACGCCAGTTAGAATGATGATCATTAAAAAATCAGGAGACAACAGATGCTGGAGAGAATGTGGACAAATAGGAATGCTTTTACACTGTTGGTGAGAGTGTAAATTAATTCAACCAGTGTGGAAGACAGTGTGGTGATTCCTCAAGGATCTAGAAATAAAAATACCATTTGACCCAGCAACCTCATTACTGGGTATATACCCAAAGGATTATAAATCATTCTGTTATAAAGACACATGCACGTGTATGTTTATTGAGGCACTGTTCACAATAGCAAAGACTTGGAACCAACCCAAATGCCCATCAATGATAGACTGGATAAGGAAAATGTGGCACATATACACCGTGGAATACTATGCAGCCATAAAAAAGGATGAGTTCATGTCCTTTACAGGGACATGTGTGAATCTGGAAACTATCATTCTCAGCAAACTGACACAAGAACAGAAAACCAAACACTGCATGTTCTCACTCATAAGTGGGAGTTGAACAATGAGAATACATGGTCACAGGGAGGGGAACATCACACACTTGGGTCTGGGGGGTTGGGGTTAGGGGAGGAATAGCAAGGGGTGGGGGGACTGGGGAGGGATAGCATTAGGAGAAATACCTAATGTAGATGATGGGGCGATGGATGCAGCAAACCACTACCATGGCACGTGTATACCTATGTAACAAATCTACACGATCTGCACATGTACCCCAGAACTTAAAGTTAAATAAATAAATAACAACAACAAAAAAAAAAACTCCTTCTGGATCCCACTGTGCTCTCCTGCACCTCTATGAAACAAAAACCTTTGAAAAAGTTGATTACACTTGCACTCACAAACTGTTCTCCTTCCATTCTCTCTTGAATCCATTCCAGTCACATCTGTTCCTCCATCACTCACTTGGGGCTATTATTCTCAAGGTCATTAGTGATCTCTATATTCCTAAATCTATTGGTCAACTACAAGTCCTAATCTTAACTGACTGACTGGCAACTTCTCATTTTGTTGGTCACCTCCTTGAAACACTTTCCTTTCTTGGCTTCCAGTATACTACTCTTCTAGCTTTCCTCTTATCTTGCTGGCTGCTGTGTCTCAGTCTCCTCTACCTATGGGTTTCTCCTCCTCTTCTCAATCTTTTAACAATAAAGAGCCCTAGAGACCAGTCCTTAGATCTCTTTCATTTACACTCACTCCCTTGGTGGTCATATCTAGTCTTATGGTTTTATGTCTATCTATCTACCTACCTACCTACCTACCTACCTACCTACCTAGCTATCTTTATCTAGCTGTCTATCTGCCTGCAGCTCCAGGCTCAAATGATCCAATTGTCTAAGCAACATATATTCATCTCATACAATACAAATGTGAACTCCTGACTCCCCATCTCCCATCACCCAGTAACACCAAACCTACTCCAATGTCAGTATTTCCCATGTCAATTAATGCCAACTTCATCCTGCCAGTTGTTCAGGGCAAAAACATTGGTGTCATCCTTGACATTTTTTTCCTCTTATTGTCCACATCCAATCTATTGGTAAATCCTATTGTCTCTACCTTCAAACTGAATCCAGCACCTAAATGCCTGTAATCTCCTCTGTTGCTGTAATCACTGGAGTAACCTTACAACTAATCTCCCTGCTTCTACCGAAATCTATACCCCCAATGCTCTATTTTTAGTACCATGACCTAAGTGATCCTTTTTAAGACATGTCAGATCTAAGCAGACTCCCTAACAGCTCCCCAATTTACTCAAAGTAAGAGCCAGCTTCCTTGCATTGACCTACCAGGCCTTATACCATGTGGCCCTTTACCACTCTGGAGTCATCCTCTACCACTTTCTCCCTTTATTCCTTTATTACTCTGCTTTAGGTTCACTGGCTTCCTTGTTCCTTCTGACAGGCTGGGCATCCTCCAACCTCCAGGCATCTGCATTAGCTATAATTTCTGACCAGAATGCTCTTCCTCATTTACCTACATGGTTTATTCTCATCACCCTATAGTCCTTGCTCACATGTTAATTTCTTAGTGAGACCTGCCCTGAGCTCCTTATTTAAAACTGTACCCCCATTCAAGTCTTCTCTAATCCTGTTACCCTGATTTTTTGCATATATCTGGTCACCTTCTATATACTATGTGTTTTATTTGTACTTCTTTTCTATTCCTCCCAGGCATGCTCCTAACGTAAGCTCCTTGAGAAATCAGATTTTTTTTTTGTCTTATGTTCACTGCTGTATTCCCAGTGCCTATAAAAGTGCCTGGCATATCATAGGTGCTCAGTATTTATTGAAGGAGTGAAGAATGGGTCAATGAATTCCATTCATTCTCCAGCTTGACAACCTCATTCTGATCCTTCAAACATTTTAATGTACTTTTTTTTTTTAATTATACAGGGGTTTCTGCAGTGAGTCACCATTCTCTAACACAGCATGCTGTTGTTTGATGCTGTGCCTTTGTTCCTGTTGTACCCTCAGCCTGGGGAAGCCTCTCCACTCCCTACCTCCTTCAAGACTAGCGCCTGCTCATCCTTTGGAACTCAGCCTACATATCATCTCTCCTAGGAAACTTTCCATGAACATTCCCCAAAACTAGATTAAGTGCTCTCCTATGTACTTTCACCTTATTGCTTCTAATGAGTTTTTACATGACTGTCTATCCCAGAGTTCACGAGCTTCATGAGACAAGGCCTGTGAATTGTTCACTGTTATCTCTCTAGTGCCTGGCATAGTGCCCAACACTTAGTAAGTACTTGAATATTTGAACTGTGGAATGCAAGACTCAGTTCAAAGTTGTTTTTATTCTGACCCTTTTAGGGACCTCTTCATCAACTAGTCTTCATTCTAGGCAGCATTCATTCCATGCAAATGAAAGGCAATGGAGATTGGAACAGGCCACAGGACTAGAGCAGACTCTCAGGTGGGTTACCCTTAAAGATCTCAATAACAACAGGGAAAAGACAGGGAGATTCTATCATCTGGCTTTGACATCTGCCATATTTAGCTGTGTGCTTTTGATAAACACTCCTAAAGGAAGGAGCACCATGGCACTCTAAAAGACAATCCCTCCAGGTTGTGGGCAGACACTATATAGAAGCCATCAATGAATTTTGCCTGTGGGCCAAAAACGCATTAGACTCCTGGCCACTGCTTCTTATACTACCATCATGTCCTCATTCCTCCTCTGGGACCAACACACCATGGGACACCATGATAAGAATTCAAGCCTGACCTTAACTTTCAATGCCCCTAAAACAAGCGCCTTTCTTGTCTGTTCAAGTCCGTTTATCCACATTCTAGGGTGGGGCTGGGAGGAGTCATGTGGAATGCTGACCCATCTGAAATAAAATGTGATTTAAGCTTCTCTACCACATAAGAAGTACTTTTTAGGTCCTTTACTCTCTCTCTCTGTCTATCATATAACACATTGAAAATGAAGAGGCACAAACAGGTGGCTCTTTGCTTAAAGTTATAAAGTATATTTGGAGAATGCCCTGCTTCACATGCATGTTAATGGAAATGACAATGAAAGCCTTTTTCAGGGGGATGCGGAGGTTCAGGAACCTATGAACTCCTTTTCTTGGAATGAGCATTCTTGTATAAACCAGTGCCTTCTGCTGAGGTGAGTTGAGACCTGGGATAGATTTCCTGGTTGAGTGGCATAAGTAATTTGAGGACAGAGTTTGGAGCATTTGTAGGAGTGGCACAGGACCCAGGATTGGCTGGACTGAAGGAAGTATCACTAGAACAGATTATTTAGGTACTGGGGAGCATCACGGAAGATCAGGCCTTCCTCCTCAGTAGAGGGAGGCTGAGCCTCAGGGTCCTCTGTTGTCTTCTCTGTTGTAGCACCCCACACGTGATCTTTGGTGACAGTTGGACTCTTCTCAGTGTTTTCTGTCCTGTCTTGGGTCACTCTCATAGCCTTAGAAAGGAGAATGGATTCCTCATGCCTTCGATCTTTCATTTCAGGGTTAATCCAGTGCAGAAACAGCTTCATCTTGTTATCCAAGCGAACTTCTGGAGCTTCTGGAAGGATGGCACTCTTGTGAGTATGGACTGCCCTTACCAGATCCTGCAACACTTGGCCCTAGAAAGTGTGGCCCTGCAAATTTTGCCCTGTAATATATGGCCCTGAACTACTTAACCCTGAAAACTTTGGATCAGAAAAAATTTACCCTTTAAATACTGTACTTGCAAAATTTTGGCCCAGTAAGTTGGCCCTTTAAGCTCTGGGCACTCCAAGTTTGGCATTCTCAGGAATCCTTGTTTGGTTGAGATTATTCAGCTTACTCTAACAGCTTTGCAAATTATTCTTATCTGGTTCTTTTGCCCCAAGTAATGCTGGAGGATGCTCTTAGAACTCAGGGTAGGGGGAAGCTGGTGAAATAACCATAGCCAGCCCTGAAAAGATGGAAATGGGGCTCTGCAGATCCAAACGGATCCTTGCTAGTCCCTACTCAAGGCAGCCATCTTAGCTAAACTAAAGTTTTACCTGAGAAAGATCCTGGAGATATATTTGGCAAGTTGTGAGCTCTGAAATTCTTCTTAGAAGTGTCCCTGTGGCCCCTGAACCTTGGCAGAATGGGTGTTCTGTCTGGCTGGGGAGAGCTCCAATGCTGTACCCCCTTCTCTGTGATTCCAAGCTGCTTTAAAAGTCATTGAATGTCACTGAGTCATCTGTTTTCTCTGCTGGGGTAGGGACTTGTCCTCACTCTTGCAAATACGTGGTCAAAGAGGTTCAGGGCCCTCCAGGCTGGGTTGTTCACTCTAGCCTCCAGCTGAACACAAAATACCTGGGCCTCTGTCATACCCCCACTGGGTATGAGATCCCAGTGGGCATGGGATACTGCTCTGGAACAGAGCGTGTAGCTCTGCTGCACTGTCTTTGGTTCAACTGCAAGCTATTCTTTTAGGCCAACCTATTCTGGATCTGGAGCAGTGAGAGTTCCAGAGCATCCTCCAGGATTACTTGGGGCAAAAAGACCAAGTAAGAATAATTTGCAAAACTGTTAGAGTAAGTTGAATAAGCTCAACCAAACAGAGGGTACAGGATTGGAGCTTGCTAGTGGGATAGGGAGTTTCTGGAGCAATGTTTTTCCTTGGTTTAGCAATCTTTAGACTCCTAAAGGATCCCTGAGTGGAGATATTCTTTGGGATCGTCGAAATTTCTTTCCTGGACTCCCTTGTCTTTTGGAACTTCCCAAATGTCAAGGAATTCCTTTTTCAGGTAGATACTGAATTTGGCCAAGATGGGTGCCTTGAGTGATTAGGGGCTGTGAGGATCTGTCTGCCTCTCTAGTGGTACCACCTCTATCAGCTTGTATTTCAGTCCAGAACACTTGTACATTATCTACACAAGCCTCATTGGTGTCTTGAAGGCATGGCCCAGGGCTTATATATTGCTGTTCAGATGAGACTGAATCAGTGGCTCTGATGGGCTCAGTCTGTGATTGTGGATTGGTGAGTGACTGCCTGGACCACGGCCCTGGAAGAAGCCACATAATAGAGAGCAGGCAGCCCTGACAGAAAGGCCAAAACTTGTCTCAAGTTTCTCAGTCGCTTTGTGGGACAGGCTCTGGGCAGCTCAGGATCATCAGTAACAGCATCTGGTAAGGCCTGTTGCTGCTGGTCAGGGCCTGTTGGTATTGAGAATGTCCCTTCCTGATCTGTGTAGGGGCTGATATGTGTCACTCTCAGGTCCAGGTGTTTGCTTTCTGGAGGACAGGGGCACCAAGTTGCTGCCCAGGCCCTTGGAATACCACAGATCCAGTGATTTGCAGTCCCAGTAATGGCAGATGTGGGCAGGGACAATGCCCTAGCAGATCTCCCCATTTGTAATCTATGTGTGGCTCCCCACACATGATCTGTTAGCTCTGCGACATTACCTTGGCCTGAGGAAACAATTGTGGACTGGCCCTGCTGCCACAGTGGATTAGGGCAGGCCACTATTCCCACTAGCCTCTAGTGCTCCATGCTGGGGAGACTCCCATAGGTCAGGGCTGTGCTGTTCCACGGCAGGGATTACTGGTCATCAGGTCACAGGAGCAACTGGATAGACTGATGGATCTTTTGGATCAGGTCCCAGCAATGGTAAATCAACCCTCTATTTCAATTGCTCCTGGAGGTGGAATCCTAGCAGCCTCTGGGCATGCTCTAGGAGAATGCTGCCTCCCTCTTGAGGACTGACATGGCCTTCCCCAATCAAAGAGGTCCTAGATCTAGTGGGAAAGTCTGCAACATGTCCCAGGGCTTACATCATATGATTTCCTGCATCTACAGAGATCTCTGAACAACAGCTGGCAAACTCCACTGAAGCTGGAGCTGCCTCTACAGCAGATGCCACTCCAAGTCTTTCACTTAGCCTAAGTCAGATATAGGACATTAATCTGGGTTTCTCAGTGGTCAGATGAAGAATGTGGGGAAAAAGGTGGGGAAGGAGGGGAGGATTTTCAGTACAGAGATGAAGGAGAAATCATTGAAGAGAAAGGGCCAAGGGCTTCCCTGTTGTGGAGATCTCTAAAGGCAAACCAGAAACTTACTGTGCAGAAAAGAGAAACCACAGTAAGGTAGCTACAGATGTGGCACACGGAGGCCTCAGTGCATCCCCCAGGAAATGGACAGAGGCCACTTAGAAGCTCAAAGAGGGGAGAGGGTAGAGCTAGAGCCATGGGGTTTGGGATTTGTTCACAGGAATTTTTCTGCTCTGAGTCCATAGTGGATCCTTCAAAAACCCTGAAAGCTAGAGTGGACCATCTAGCCTCCCATGAAACCCAGAGTCAAGGGGATGGAAGCTCATCTCTTCAACAGAGGCCTTAGAGATGACATTCAGGGTGAAAGAAATGGCTGTTTGTCTGTCTGTTTTCCACCCTTTGGAATATTAGAAGCAGTGTGGCATAAGCTGCCACAGAAACTCCTCCACAGATCTTGGGAGCCCTCAGTTGTGGGAATATGTGCATTAATATCCTTGTGCTTGAAGATTTCTCAGGACCTTTTGGACATTGCAACAGCAGTTTAAAGGAATGCCGGATCATAGGGTATTGTTTTAGGTTTGGGACCTCTGGGTTCAGGGAAAGAAAGGGAATCTAGTATTCAAATTTGTCCTGACCTTGGTTCTCCAGGACAAATTTGGAGTTGTTTTTCTTGCTCTCCTGCTGGCTTAGAGGAATTCCATGCTTCTCAAAGTTTGAAGACAGAGATCCCATGCCCTGGGACACAGCAGGGACTTGAGATCCCTGACCTCGCTGAAAGTGATCAGACCAGGAATCTTGGATGCTGTCTGCACCAGCTGACTGGGTTGCTGACTGGGTTAAAGATTTCTGATCTGTTAATTGTGACAGTGTTGTTGTTACAGATGCCAGTGAATGCTCTTTGGATTTCTCGGAACCCAGATCCTGACTCTGCTCAAAAGACGCACTAGACGTGGACAAAGCCTCTAGGCAAGAGGAGCCCTGTGATGGCCCCAGTGAAGTCAGGGAGATCAGGCTATTCTCACTCGCCAGCAATTGCTGAATATCCAGAGCCATAGCATTGCAGATTTGGCAGCAGGGATCTGCACACAGGATTCGCCGCACACTTCCTTCCTGAGGAAGCCAGCCCTGGCTGGGAGGAGAAACGTGACAAACATTAATGATAGAGTGACATCTGACTTCTCAGAAGAGTGTGGGACAGGGTTGCCACTGTCCTTTCCTAGATCTGAAAATCCTGGGGCCTACACTCTCTTGTTGTGTACCTCTCTGCTTTTCTTCCTAAGAAGATGCCATTTGGAGGCCAGACACAGTGGCTCACACTTGTAATCCCAGCACTTTGGAAGGCTGAGACGGGTGGATCACCTGATGTCAGGAGTTCGAGATCAGCCTGGCCAACATGGTGAAACCCTGTCTCCACTAAAAATATAAAAATTAACCAGGCATGGTGGCGCATGCCTGTAGTCCTAGCTACTCAGGAGGCAGAAGTAGGAGAATCACTTGAACCTGGGAGGTGGAGGTTGCAGTGAGCCAAGATCGTGCCATTGCACTCCAGCCCGGCAACAAGAGTGAAACTCTGTCTCAAAAATAAAATAAAAATAAAAATAAAATAAAAGCAAGAAAAGAAAAGAAAAACAAAATGCCATTTGGCAAGGTTGGCTGGGTTGAAGGTCTGGAGCTTGTTGGGCCAGGCTTCAGAAAACCCATGGGGGGCGGGGGCATGGCCCTCAGAGAGGGCTGGGACCTGGGGTCAGTTCTCTCTTGAACTTGTTAAAAAGCTGAACTAGGAGAAACAAGCCAGGTGGTTAGCTGATGGTGCATCACCAGGAACATCACCAGTTAGAACCCGGACCAGTTTCATTTGAGGCTAAGAAAGCCAAAGCCTGGTATTTGAGCTTGAAGTTCATGTAGGACCTCTGCATTCTGAGGGTTATTTGATATCCCTGCTGATGTACCCAACAACTTTTGGGAATCAATCCTGTTCTCTAGAATTATTAAGAAGAAAAGATGTTAGGCTGCCATCTGAGGGCTGTCTCCCTAATGACAGAACCAGAGGAGGTAATGTCAGCAGAGTCCAGTCAGACTCAGAGGAGAGAGAAGAAAGAGAATAAAACAGGGATGACTTCTTTATCCAAAATTCCTCTTGACTGAATAACTTATCTCATGGCTGAATGCAACCCCATGTAGAGTCTTTTATGAATTATGCACTAGTACAGGCCTGAATTCCAGAACTACTGTTACCCTAGCCCAAAGCAGAATTGGGTGACTCTTCCCTCCTGAGATGTCTGGCCCAGCTCCCATGTCCTGTCAACTCTGTCAACTAGTGAACCAGCCTCCACTGTCTATGTCTCCCTCTCAGCCATTAACCCTGTTCTCATCTCTACCCCAAGCTAAGCTGAGAAATGATCACAGACCAGGCTAGCAGCTGGGAGACTGCAAAGAACAAGAGATTACCTTTTCATGAGAAAGAGCAGCTTCCACAACTTCTCGGCTTCTTCCTGGGAAGTTCTCCTAGCTGAGGAAACAGGAGATAGTGTTACGTGGAACAGGAGAGGATTCAGGGACATCGTATAAGAAGTTGAAGGCCTTTCAATGAGAGGATACTGAAACCCCCAAGAGTCAGAACACAAAGTCACATCTGCGTACAACTTAACCATTTACGATGTGTTGTTCTGGATTCGTCTCATTTGTTCTTCACCATCATACTGGAGGTGAGGAAGGATCATCAGATGCCCATTTTTTGGAGAACAAGACTGAGAGTTGCAGTGACTTCCACAGGGTTGTAAAACTAGTAAATGACTCAGTTGAGGACTTCTGCCCTACTTCCTCATTCTTTATTCTCAGGAGGATAAGATAGAGAATTTTTTTAATCCTTTGGTTTTCCACCCAAGGAAGTCTTTCATGAGAAATTGTCCCATGGGGGTACTAGAGCCTGCAGTGGTTAGAGCACCTGGTTCCTAGCACAGGGGTCATAGAGGGCCAGGATCCACGGGAACCTTATCCACAGTGGAAGTGAATCAGAGGAGAGACTGGGACTTTACCTTTTGATGTTGTATCTCTAGACTTTTGTTTAACTCTTCGGTGACACTTAAAGACAAAAACATTAAACATAAAGCTGCTACCCCATTTTTCCCATATCTAAAATGAAACAAAACTCATAAACATTTCCCAGTCTTTTTCTGTGTTTCAATTTTATATACTCTTCTACCTTTCCTTTCTACATTCTTTTCACCCCAAGACTTTCCTTATTTGCTTATTTCTGACTCACTTTCAGGCTCTTCCATACTCCATGCCTCCCACCCCCATTCCTTTGATAAGTTCTGTGGGGACTTTAGGATGGGACAGGAGGAAAAGTGGAACAGATTAGAGAATGGATGGGTCTAGAAGCCAAAGGAGTTCAGCCATCAAGTGGCTCTAAATGACCCCAACTGAAATAATTACCCAAATTGGGAGCTCTTCTGGTATCCAGTGAGGAAACCCCCTTAAAAAAGCAAGGAGTAAGAGTAACAAGAGAAAGCTGGGGGATAAAATATTGTTTGAGGCATATCAATTTAGCCATGGTCATAGTGTTTCCCTACCCGGCAACAGCTCCTGTTAGGTCCCAACCTTAATTTTTGGCGGCTCTTTTTCACTTGCCAAATAATTAATGCAATAATGCAGATGGATCCATAGGTGTATAAGGGATATCCAACATCCCACAAAACAAAGGTAGGACTCAACATGATCTAAACCTCACTAGCCATCCCTCTCCCTAGTCTTTCACTGTCTTGAAACCTAATGCCTCCAGATTCTACACCTTGTCATTTCTGCCTCACAGAAGAGGGATGAAACCACCAGATTGCATCACAAAGCCCTCCTGTTCTGCAAGACAGGGATAGCATCACAGACCTTTATCTGTTTTTAGAGAGGCTTACTGTGGTGATTCAATGTTCACATGAGGGTGTCTGGTATTCTGTATGGGCTACAGAGCCTGGGGCAAAAGATGCCGAGGTCAGGGGCAGCATGTACCTTTTCATGTTCTCTCTACTCTCTATACCCTTATGACTCAACTCTCTCCTTTACTACAATGGCCTGACACCTATCCCTAGATAACTGAGTTTCTATGCACACTATATGTCCTATAAGAGAGATAGTGGATAGATCAGAGGAACTCTATGAACTGTACTGGGAAGATAACAAAAACAAACAAACCTGAGGATAGGGCAGGCATCATATTGTTAAATCTTGAAAACAGATTTTTAATGTCACCAACAATGATATATGGTCAGTATTGAGAGGTTCAGAAAGAGGACAGTATATGATGTATGAAGGAAAGGACAAAGCTGTTCTTTTAAATAACTTTCTGAGAGTTAAAGAAGGACTCCTCCCAGTCTGTGTGGTCTAGCCTTAGATGGGTGAGCAGAGATTGTAAGCACTACCTTTCATGGAGGCACATGAATAAGGCTCACTTCTGGAGCTCCGTACAAGGCTTGATTTTCCAGAATTGCTTCTACAGATTTTATACCATCTAGCCTGTTCATGGAGATGAATTATTGGGAAGACTTTCAATTAAGGTTCACAAACTTGTGATTCTTCGGTTGAATCCACCATGGTTGGAATGTTTGTCTGAAAGAGTGTTTTATGAAAATCTGAATTTCAATAACTTTAGGCAGAGCAGGATTTCTCCCCATTCAACCCCTGGTACCTACCACTCCTGTGCCCACTGATTCTCACATTAATGTTAACTTCATGACCCCTGACAATATTACGGCATGCCTCCAACACCCTAGGATTTCTGAATTTCTTTGAGAAGTTCTTGCCCTGTTAAGAGTGGTTGGTCTTAGGCTCAAAGTCTCTGAGAAGGGGCAGTGGCTCACACCTGTAATCCCAGCACTTTGGGAGGCTGAGGTGGGTGGATCACCTGAGGTCAGGAGTTTGAGACCATCCTGGCCAACATGGTGAAACCCCATCCCTACTAAAAATACAAAAAATTAGCCAAGTGTGGTGACAGGCGACTGTAATCCCAGATACTCAGGAGGCTGAAGCAGGAGAATCACTTGAACCCAAGAGGTGGAGGTTGCAGCGAGCCAAGATCACACCTCTATACTCCAGCCAGGGAGACGGAGTGAGACTCTGCCTCAAAAACAAACAAGTCTGAAAAGGGTATTTGATCCTTCCTCCAGCATTTGTTCCTCCACCTGGTAGGAATAGTGAGCACTCAATAAGTGCTTAACCCTAAGTTGGGCAGTGTTGAGGACAAAGACATTTGAGTTGTGTTGCCTACCTGCTCTCAAGATTCTTAAAAATCTGGTTTCAGGCCGGGTGCGGTGGCTCACGCCTGTAATCCCAGCAATTTGGGAGGCCGAGGTGGGTAGATCACGAGGTCAAGAGATCGAGACCATCCTGGTCAACATGGCGAAACCCCGTCTCTACTAAAAATACAAAAAATCAGCTGGGCATGGTGGCACATGCCTGTAATCCCAGCTACTCAGGAGGCTGAGGCAGGAGAATTGCCTGAACCCAGGACGCGGAGGTTGCGGTGAGCCGAGATTGTGCCATTGCACTCCAGCCTGGGTAACAAGAGTGAAACTCCGTCCCAAAAAAAAAAAAAAAAAAAATCTGGTTTCAAAGACAAGGCATTCACAAGAAGCAAAAGCCAACCTTTTGCTGGGGAAGGGGCTGAAGAAGGGGGAAATAGACTGTTAATGTTTAATGGGTACAGAAGTTTCTTTTTGGGGTGATGAATACAACCATCTTATTAATAAGTGAACGCCCTGAATGGCGCTGAATTTTACACTTAAAAATAACTAAAATGGTAAATTTTATATTAAGTATATCTTACCATAACTTAAAAACAACCAAAAAATTCATTAACACAAGGGCTTCTTTTTGAACTAAGCTATAAGGAAAAATATTCTGAAAATGATCTGACAAACAAATGGATTAGTGAATGTTTTTCTCTTTTTTAAATTTTTTATTTCCATAGGTTATTGGGGAACAGGTGGTGTTTGATTACATAAGTTCTTTAGTGGTGATTTGTAAGATTTTGATGCACCCATCCCCCAAGCAGTATACACTGCACCCTATTTGTAGTTTTATCCCTCACCCCCCTCCCACCCTTCCCCCAAATCCCGAAAGTCCATTGTATTTTTCTTATGCCTTTGTGTCCTCATAGCTTAACTCCAACATATCAGTGAGAACATACAATGTTTGGTTTTCCATTCCTGAGTTACCTTGCTTTAAATAATAGTTTCCAATCTCATCCAGGTCACTGCGAATGCCATTAATTCATTACTTTTTATGGCTGACTAGTACTCCATCAAATATATATACACTGCAGTTTATTTATCCACTCGTTGATTGATGGGCATTTGGGCCGGTTCCTTCCACGTTTTCGCAATTGCGAATTGTGCTGCTATAAACTTGTGTGTGCAAGTATCTTTTTCGAATAATGACTTCTTTTCCTCTGGGTAGATACTCAGTAGTGGGATTACTGGATCATATGGTAGTTCTACTTTCAATTATTTAAGGAATCTTCACACTGTGTTTTGTAGTGGCTGTACTAGTTTACATTCCCACCAGCAGTGTAAAACTGTTCCCTGATCACCACATCCATGCCAGCATCTACTGTGTTTTGATTTTTTTATTATGGCCATTCTTGCAGGAGTAAGGTGCATTGCAGTTTTAATTTGCATTAGTGAACATTTTTCTTAAATGTCCTACTTATACCTACAAAAGAAAAATAGATCTTCATATTAAGGATGATTTAAGAAGAGTCCTACCTGAAAATGGGATGAATTTGAGCTATTTCAATATCTTTTCTGAACTTGCAAATTCCATAACACAGGAATGAGAAAATTTTTTCAACCAAAGAGCACTGAATGAAAGGTTAACAAAAATCAGTTATCAAGCAGCTTGAGTCAGCTTCTTAGCAGCAGGTCATCAACATACGTGCAAAGTAGCCTAGATCCTTCATTACTTTTATTACTCCTACTTAACCAACTGCTGCTGCCCTCTATGTGCTGTAACAGTTCTATCACCCATTAGCCTGACCTCTTGCCCCTGGGAGAATCACCACGTTCTGCAAATCCTGCACCTGTTCCTGCCAGTGCACTACTTATCTCACAAATAACCACAGCTTCTGCCCTTCCACCAAGCCATTAAAACCATCTGCTGCAAACTCCTCTCCAGCAATTCACCTGGCCCTTGCTCCTCTGCCTCAGAGCTGAGGAATTAGGGCCAAGGGCTGAGCTAAAAATGGTCTCATGCCCTTTTGCAAGTTAGGCCTTGAGCATAGGTTTATTTACTGGTTTGGGACTCATTGACAAGGGTGTTTGTGGGGACAGGACAGTGGGATCAGTGTCTTCCTAAACAAGGGCGCATTCATGTAATGAACACAGCTAAGCCTGGCATTTCTCACGATGTGGGTATGGATCATCACATTTGCCCTTCCTGCCTCGTGGTTGAGAGCGAACAGCAAACAAGGGAGATGAAGTCCATGAAAAGCCTGTGCAGATGCTGGAGGGCTACACAACTATCAAGGATTCTTCTTCATTTGTTTCTAGAAAACTTGCTTTAAGCCAGACCCTGCTTTCATTTATAATGCTGCAGAGCCAGAATGATTGCAATAGAATTTCTTCGAGAAACTGTTCATGGCTGCCAATTCATAGGTACCATGGGTCCTGTCGCCTTATAAAGAAAAATGTGACTGACATGCCACTGATGTCTTGTCCCTTCACACAAGCCTTACAAAAGAGCTTTGCTGTGTCTCGTACTCAGAAAATACCAGAGAACACCTTAAATGTACGAAGGTGCTGGGGACAGAGATGCATAGTTGTTGCGACTCAGCAGCAACACCTTTATAGGTGAGCACCTTTGTTGATGTTCAAGAGCTAGAACCTCCAGGGAGTTGGTTAGGAAGCCCCAGAGTAGTGTCAGGCAGCAAAACCACCAGAGCTCACACAGCTGAGTGGGAGTCTGGCAAGTAGCAGTAGATGGCAGCTAGAGGCACTAGAGGGCAGCACCTGCCCACCCAATACTCCTAGTCTGGCGACGTCTCCGCTCTGATAGGCGCTTTCAATGATTATCTTCTCCAGTGGCTCTCAATCACGGCCTTACATTAGAATCACTGGGGGCTTGTTAAAAATATAGATTTCCTGGTTTCATTTCAGACTAATGAATCAGAATCTCTAGAGGCAGAGTCCAGCAACCTCTATATTAAATAAGTATCAAAAATAATCCTTAAGCAAGAAGGCACTGAGCTATGGATTTGTATTTGAGACTCTGATGAAACTATGTCCCTCCCCCACACTCAAAATTTGAATTTCAGAGGCATTGACACCACTTACGAAAACTGTGGAGAACTCAAAGAGCCTGGTTAAGAAATTTGAATACAATTTATGCCAAGCCAAAGACTATCACTCAGAGGTGGGAGCCTCAGCAAGGACAGGGTCCTTCAAGCAACAAAAGCCAAAATAGACAAATGGGATCTAATTAAGAGTTTCTGCACAGCAAAAGAAACAATCATTAGAGTGAACTGGCAACCAACAGAATGGGAAAAAATTTTTGCAAGCTACCCATCTGACAAAGGGCTAATACCCAGAATCTACAAAGAACTAACACAAATATACAAGAAAAAAACAACCCCATCAAAAAGTGAGCAGAAGATATGAACAGACATTTTTCAAAAGAAGACATTTATGTGACCTACAAACATATGAAAAAATGCTCATCATCACTGGTTATTAGAGAAATGCAAATCAAAACCACATTGAGATACCATCTCATGCCAGTTAGATGGTATCTCTCTATTATTATAAAATCAGGAGACAACAGATGCTGGAGAGGATGTGGAGAAATAGGAATGCTTTCACACTGTTGGTGGTAGTGTAAATTAGTTCAGCCATTGTGGAAGGCAGTGTGGTGATTCCTCAAGGATCCAGAAATAAAAATACCATTTGACCCAGCAATCCCATTACTGTATATATACCCAAAGGATTATAAATTGACCTATTATAAAGACACATGTACACATATGTTCATTGCAGCACTGTTAACAATAGCAAAGACTTGAAACCAACCCAAATGCCCATCAATGATAGACTGGATAAAGAAAATGTGGCACATATACACCATGGAATACTATGCAGCCATAAGAAGGGATGAGTTCATGTCCTCTGCAGGGACATGTATGAATCTGGAAACCATCATTCTCAGCAAACTGACACAAGAACAGAAAACCAAACACTGCATGTTCTCACTCATAAGTGGGTATTGAACAATGAGAACACATGGACACAGGGAGGGGAGCATCACACACTGGGGTCTGTTGGGAAGAGGGAGGCTAGGGGAGGGATAGCAGAGGGTGGGGAGATTGGGGAGGGAAAACATTAGGAGAAATATCTAATGTAGGTAACGGGGGGATGGAGGCAGCAAACCACCATGGTATGTGTATACCTATGTAACAATCCTGCAAAATTCTGGGCACATGTACCAGAATTTAAAGTAAAAATTTTTTTTAAAAAGTCATAGGAACTTAGGAAAAAAGGGAGAAGACCAATGACCAATATTGAGAATGAAAGAGGTGACTCACCAAAATTCCAAATATATGTAAAGGACAGTAAATTAACTTGAAAGCCAAACGTGGTGGCTCATGCCTGTAATCCCAGCACTTTGGGAGGCTGAGGTGGGCCGATCACTTGAGCTCAAGAGTTCAAGACCAGCCTGGGCAATATGGCAAAACTCCATCTCTACAAAAATAGCCAGGCATGGTGGTGTGCACTTATAGTCCCAGCTACTCAGGAGGCTGAGGTGGGAGGATTGCTTGAGCCTGGGAGGCGAAGGTTGCAGTGACCCGAGATCTTGCCATTGCACTCCAGCCTAGGTGACAGAGTAAGACCCTGTCTGAAGTAATAATAATAATGTGAAAATTTTA